TAGAATATCTCAAATTATTATGTTATATTTAAAGCTGTTTAGAAATAGTTAATCATTATGTTTAGAGATATTTTTACCCAAAGTTTTTATTTAACTGTGTTTGGCTTTACATTACTTTTGTATTAATTCCCATCAAGTGTTCTCACCTAAAAACAAAGCTATTATTATAACCTGACCATAACCGTTTTTAGGTTTATTATTCACAGATATGTTTTACCTTGCCAATTTACTAAAAATGCAACAAAACAGACTATATAAAACTCATAAAGAAAAATAAAATATTTTGAACATAAATGTCAGTGTACTAAATCAAGATTTTAAAACTCTTATGTAGAAACTGAGGGAGTTTTCAAGTTGCTGCTAATACACAATAACACAGAAACAAAATTGGTTACATGGGACTGAGTAAACTAAAATAATTACTATAAAATTTTATATAAGAATATTGCTAATGTTCTGCTGTCCAGATATTAAAATTTTTTTTCCTTTTCTTTCCCTTGTTAGTACAGATCTGTATTTCAATCATGTAATCATTTAACTTCTATTTTTTCTACCTCAAATAGGATTAGAAGATGTCATGGCACGTCAAAATTCTCTCTAAATATATTCAGAGTGTTTTAAATGATTCTGTCTGTAGATTCCAAGAAATGAATGCTAAAATGACTATAATAGTTCTTCAAAACCAAATGCCCCTCCCTTATGTTATTTAACCGACTCTAACATTGTTAAATATTGTCAATTTTTAATCCAATACTCTAAAGAATGTTTTTATAGGCTAAAGGAGCTTTTGACAACCAAAAACCAAAATCCTAAAATCTGCCTAATATTGTTTTAGGGGACTGTACATATATTAGAAAAGACATCAGTTAAAAGATTCCCTGGAGCCTTGTTGAAAAGGACATATGTAGTTCTCCTTGCTAAACCTTGTGCTGCTAAACTACAGGGAGTTAAGATCTGGTTACACCTCTTCCAACTGAAGAATGCTGCAGCTCCCACTTGGACAGTTCAACCAACTAAAAGGCTCAAACTAAAATTCAAAAATCACCAGGATGATTAACAGACGAAATCTGGTGTGGACAACTTATCCCAACATCCAGGACCAAGCCTGTAAACCTTTATTCTCAAACACTGGATCACATAGAGATTCGCTTCTTGGATTTGCGTATTTCTTTTTCTAGCATTTGCTACCTTTTTGTCTTACATGCCTTTAAGGTCTGTGGACTAATAACTTTCCCTTGGATGTTACTGAAATTATTGCTTTGTGCCTAACCCTCATTGTTTTTGAAGTAGCTTTGTTCTATCAGTTAGGTTTTATTAATTGATAAAACAGATTTACACATGTAAACATTTCCATGTGTTTTAACCTAAAAACTTTCCTTTATATTTTTTATTAGTATTTTATTAATCATTAAGTTATTTGCTGCACCCATTGTTTACTCATATATGCCCTTATTTAGAAGAACCGATTTTAGTTTCTGGAGCCCTAGTGGCGCAGGGCTTGGCTGCTAACCAAAAAGTTGGCAGTTCAAATCCACCAGCTGCTCCTTGGAAACCCTATGGGGCAGGAATACTCTGTCTTATAGGGTCCCTATGGGTCAGAATTGACTCGACGGCAATGGGTTTGGATTTTTTTAGTTTCTAAGTCATTTGTATGCTAATTGCTCGTTTATTTCTTGTAGACAATTTTTCTCCATTATAAAGCCTTTCTTATTTGTTACTATGCCTCATAACTACTGAGGCCTGAAAAGATACTGCTTTTGTCAAATTAACTCAATCAGTAGTAAGTACCTCCTGTTGTTCTTGCATAAACACCACCGGTGAAGAAAAGGAAGGTATACACAAAGTATACCAACGAGCAATCTGGCTACATTCAGTCCCCCTCCAGTGCAGATATCAGTATCTGACCTGTTCAGTTAACTCCCACAAGGCATAGGATCATAGTTATGAACCTTATTGCAAACTGGAATAACTGCATTAGTAACAGTTGTAATCATTGTTGGTCTGGACAAATTTATTATGAAATGTGTAGTCAAGGTCAGGCAAAAACATGTCCCAAAACAATGCATACTGACTCTGTACACTTTTATAACACAGTGGATGTGTCTGGCACCTTGAACCAGCTTTCCTGAAAAGGTCATGTTACTCCTCAATTCGGCTCAGGTCTCCAATGGATGTATTGCAAATCTGCACAGTACGGTGAAAACCGACAGAGCTTGGTGAAGAACCAGTTTCCAGCAGAGATAACAAGTGCATAGTGAAGAACAAGACAGTATTCGGCAGAGAGAACAGACAATAAACCTGAACAGCAAAACCCAAGTAGCCATGAATTAAAAGATCTAAAGCTTATGGGCTGCCATCTAGGGAAGCCAAGTCCATGCTGAAGATAATGAAAGGCCAAAAGCAGAGTCTATGCTAAAGATAATGTAAGGCCATGCAAAAAAGAAAGACTGATCAAAGGATGGACCCCTGGTGGTGTAGTGGTTAAACGTTTGGCTGCTAACAAAAAGGATGGCAGTTCGAATCCACCAGCTGCTCCTTGGAAACCATATAGGGCAGTTGTATTCTGTCCTATAGGGTCATGAGTCAGAATCAACTCGACAGCAATTGGTTTTGTTTTTGGGTTTTTTTTGCTCTAACGATGTTCAGCTGAAATCCCTGATCAGAAGGAGGGATTGAACTGCAGAGTGGAGACCTTCTAAATCTTACAGGGCCTGGCCATAGTAAGGAAAGTTAGGATAAGGTCCAATTTCCCTTTCTCCTAGTTATGTGATAGAAAAACTGGCACAAGTTTCTCTACTGGTTAATAGGTGTACATAAGTAAAACGAAGGAAATGCTCCATGATACATGTTGTATGATTTAAGTTAAAGGTTGGGGCCCTAGTATTGTCTTATAACCACCTTGTAAGTATGACTCAAAGTCACATGATCATGAGTGACCCCAGCCACCACACAGTCTGTTAAGTAAAACACCAGAACCAATTGTATAACCTTTTTAAACTTGTAATTATGTACGTACTTGTCATGGATTGAATTGTGTCCCCCAAAATATGTCAATTTGGCTGTCATAATTCCCAGTATTGTAATGATTGTCTACCATTTTGCCATCTGATATGACATCCCTGTGTTGTAAATTCTATCACTATGATGTAATGAGGTAGATTAGTGGCAGTTATATTGATGAGATCTACAAGATTAGTGTCTTAAGCCAATCTCTTTTGAGGTATAAGAGAAGCAAGCAGAGACTTGGGGACCTCATACCACCAAGAAAGCAGCACTGGGAGCAGAGCACATCCTTCAGACCTGAGATTCCGGCGCTGAGATGCTCCTAGACCAAGGGAAGACTGATGACAAGGACCTTCCTCCAGAGCTGAGAAAGCCTTCCCCTGGAGTTGGCGCCTTGAATTCGGATTTCTAGCCTACTAGACCGTGACATAATAAACTTTTTTAAAGCCATCCACTTGTGGTATTTCTGTTATAGCAGTAGTAGATGGCTACGACAGTATCCTTGTCATGGTCCTTTCCATGCTTCTGTAGATCCCCCTACGACAGTGATGAATTGACCTGCTACCAATCATGACCTTGTGATGACTTTCTTTGTCCTCTCTAGTATATAATGGACACCATGACTGTGATTCAGTGGATTCCTTCAGTCTCTGTACTGGGTACATGCTGATGGTCTCCTTCATTCGAATGATCATCTTTGTCTTGGCTTAATAAAAATCTCTTCTGATTAAATTTGAGTCTGGGTCTTTTTCCCCTATGACACTACATAATGGTGGCTGCTGAGCATCTTTTCACAACTCTGCCTTGTCATCACATTGGTAGCCTGAAATTGGCTATGGTGGGAGTATGTACATCATGTAAACAGTCAAATACTATAAATCAGTGCTTCCCGTTCTCCCTCTTTTCTCATGGTAGTCCACCAAAATAAAGACCCAAATTAAAAAAGTTGCCTAAATATTTATAAAGTATTATCTTTTGGGGACTATTAGAAATGGCTTCCTTTTTGAACACAATGCCTTTTTGCTAAACAAGGAAGTGTCCTTCTCTAATAAATAGCAAACTGTGTCTGAGACATTTTAGAATTCCCACAATCAGTGTTTTAGGGAAAGGCTCATGGTGGTGTTTTTTTTTGTCCTTTGTCTCTTACATCAAATACTTTCTCCTGTGAGAAGAGAGGTTGCCCTAAGGCAACATAAATTGATCTTAAGAACAAACGAATGTGGACCAATTTGCTCCTGCCCACCTCCAGGAAGTGATTAAGTAGGCCCAGAGCAACTCCATACAACACAAAGGCCAGGTTCACTAACAAATGGTATGGATGCCATTTAGGTCATTTCAGACATATGGAGTATTAGATTCAAGTTACTAAAAAGAATAAATTGGACACTAAGGGAAACAAGTTAAGGCAGTAAAGGGTGTTATAAACAATAGTTTTTATTTTTTCTTTGTTTTGGAGTGCCTGTAAATACTACAAATGGCTAAGACTGTATATATATAAAAATTATATATTATATATATAATTTATATTTAACCTTTTTTTAGATAGTTGAAAAAATAATCCGAGTACTGTATAGTTGATGCTGTGTGCTATACGAACACCATTATAACATTTTATAAATACTGCATAAATCAGAAAAGGCCATATGCTTTTTTTCCAGTAGAAAGGCATCAAAAACTCAAAAGAATTAGTCTTCATATCTGAAAAATTATTACATTAATCTAAATTTGAGGAACACCAACTTTCTGTAAATATTCTGTGGGAAATTAGCAAATATGACGAAACAGTACATTATCAATTACACGCATTTGTCCACCACATACTGGTGAATAGTAAAATAGCCATTAGGGTTTTAAAGGCTATTTCCAAGCACTTATGTGTATGTGTATGATAGAGCCTTTGACTGTAAACTTAGTTTTCTTAATGTTTGAATGAAACTAAAAAGTATTATCATGCCATGTTCTGATCTCTGAAATATCATTCGTAAGCTGACTTAGGCGGATGGCTTTACTTGCATTGTCCTACTCTGCTGAGCACCTGCGTGAATGTATGACTATCATCCTGCTTTTGATGTATCAAAAAGGATGAAGAGCATCTCCAGTTTATACTTTATTTAAATTAATAAAATGATACATACAGTTACAGGGAAATGACATTTCAATACATTTACTTGGATAATATAAAAATCTACATATTCACAAGCACACAGATCCTACACTACCATTGAACATTTTAGTCTATGTAGTCAAAGTCTTCTGGAATGCCAAAGTTTTTATCAATTTTATTTTCTTCAAATCCAAATTTTCTTTTGGCCCAAGACTTTATTGAAAATATGTTATCTGTAAAGAAAATTGAGAAATATTTTTGAGAACTGAAAATAATCACAAAACACTTCAACTATAAATTATCTTGATTGATCTTTACTTTCTACTGTTACCACCACAAGTGTCAAAAGGAGTTACCTGTATTTTTAAGATTATAAAAAAGTGAAACAAAATATTTAACCAGCATTTTAAACAAGTAAACAGATCTCATATGTAAGAATTCAGTAAATTAACTGCCACTAAAGAATACCTGATTTAAGAATAATCCAGACACGGAAAAGGCCGATGGTGCCTCTTCCCCATTCCACAGCAGAGGTCAGGAATTAAGAGTTGCTGCTGCTCCCAAAGGGAGCACATTCTCTCCAGGCCCTCTGTGCCCCTCCCCCACATACACACAGGGAGAGTAATGGCTTCCAGACAATCAGGCCAGTGTGAGGGAGAGGGGGTGAGGAGGAGGGAAGGGGTCTTTCTCTCTTAAGACTATGACAGGAATAGATGTGTCCTTAGCCTCCCTAGGGGAAATTTAAAATGCATTCTACCACTGAAAAAAGTGTTATATCCACTTAAAGAAATTTATCTCAAGGAAATAAGACAAATTGTGTTCAAAGATTTTCATGCCAGTGTATAATAAAAAAAATTAGAAGCAATCTAAATGTCTACTAACTGGGGAAGGCACCTACGTGCAGGCAGTGAAGGAGTCAGACCAACACCAACATGCTCACAGGGGCTGCACTTGGGTATGGGAATAAAGATTTTTTTTTCAATTTTACACACTTTCTTTAATGTACATATACCATCTTTATAATGAAAATGTATTATAAAATAATGATATAAGGTTTTATAGTTTGCCAGAGTATTTTATAAAATCTTAAGCACTGTATTAGTAGTGATAATGAAGTAAGAAGCTAAAATAGGCTCTTCTGGAGTTTGATCACTTTTTTATATTGTTTCTAAAAAGTTTAATTCAAAGTATCAAATAATGATAAATAAATTTCTGGAATGAAGTTTGTTTATCTACTGCATCATACAGAATAGTGTTAACAAAATATCTTCATTTCCTTCAATTAAAATGTTGTGGAATGTCAACATATTAAAATGAAACTTTACTTTTTTAACAATCTAAAATGAATCTTTACTTTTTATAATAACCTAAGAAAATACTACAATATTAGCATGAGGTGTTCCAGGATGACTGTTTACGTTTACCAGTGTCTACACAGCCAGTACATTCTTGTCAATCATAGTCAAATATTTATAGATGGTCCACTGGTACATAAAGCAGGTATTAAGTATACTACAGAATGTAAAGAGCCTATGCCTTCAAGTTGACACTAGAGGAAAAAAAAAACATTAACTTTTACTAAACAATTTCAAAGTAATATGTGTGCTAGAAAAGATCAAGAATTACATGTACAGCTTTCAGAAAAGGCTCCATGAATACGGAATGATTTCTTGGAAATCAGAGAACAGATGCAATGAGTAAGAAGCAGTATACTATTTGGAAGGAAGTGACTTCAAACCGAGATCAGGAGAGAAGAAAATGAAACACTATTTAATAGCCTCTGCTGGAAAGGTTTCCTGGTTCACAGAAGAAAGAATTTTATTATAAATCTTCAAAGAAAAAAAACAAACAAAAGAATAAACAAAAACCTCTCCACAATAATGCCTAATGGATCAATTCAAAGAAGACTTTGGACACTGGATGTCTGCCTTCAAGACAATGTTACCCATAGTCTTGCAGTTCACTCCTTGTCAAATAATTTTCTTATATGTAGAAATTTTTATAAACAGATAAAGCAATTTTTTCCCCCAATAACCTTAAGTCTGATAGAACTCCTGTTAATTTACACAGTGACTACCCAAGATACATAAAGGAATAAGACTGGGCAATACTGTTTGTGATGAGTCTATGTTAGAATGTCACATCTATCACCCCTCACTCATTAAGATTCCTCTCAAACAAATTTATAAAAACTCTACCATCTATCTTAATTATTAAACAAGGTTTTATATAATTTGTTAAATCATATTCAAAGTATATTTAGTGCCATAAAATATTTAGACATGGTATTTCTAGTTGTATTTAAACCCTGAGGTAATCTCTCATTCTATAAAATGGGATACTGGATTATTGAACAGTAAATATTCTCAATTCTACATATATTTTAAGAACTTTAAGTAAAAAGAAACCAAACCTTAATAACTATATGATAACAAGGTTTAGTATTATTGCCGGGCTTTACTGTTTATCTGTTTGCTTTAAAGACAGGAAGGTCTTATGAGGTATAATTTGCTCTATCTTATCTCCATGATGTTTTTGTAACATGTTTATGCTGGAAAGAATAAGCTGTAACCTCAATGGAAATACAGTTCTTAACAGTTGTCTCTACTTTTCTAAAAATATCTTTCCTACCTACATGATTTTTTTAAAAGTTCCAGGTTTTTTCTCAATACCTAATAAAACAGAAAGAAAAAAAATTAGCTGTTGGAAATTTATGATCAGTTGGAAAACATGAAAGGATTTTTTAAAGAGGAGAAAGGGAAGAGAGGAATACTTTTGGTTTATGTGTCTAATGCTGTGCTGGAGGGCTTAGGCACTGTTCTCTCCAAAATGCTGTGAGGTTGGTATTATTACTGACATTGAATAGATGAGGAAAAAGGTTCAGAGAAGTTCAACAGGTCACACAGCAAATAAGGAACACAACTTAAATTCTTCTCGAAGCCAAGTTCCTCCCACTATACACGCACGCTACATGTTCCTACTGTTTGCTGGGCTGCTCTGCTGAGAAAAGATTGGGGGAAATCATCTTGTGACACTTGTCTTATTTTTAGCCTAAACATCCAGCTGCTTCTTTTTTCCCATTAAAAATTCTGTTTCTCAAACACGCACAATGCCATTGTATTTATTCTTTAAACTTTATTGGGCACTTACTTCATTATTCCCTTTTCTTTGATGTTAGTTTGCTGTTTTTTCCCTCTTCTGTTCTTATCACCAAGCATCACATACTTATACAGTAACTTTGTAATAAGACTGCAATTTTATAGAAACCAAAGGCCAATAATATTGATTTTACCAGTATACCTAACTCTAAAAAAGATAAGAAGAAAATGATTCTTATGAAGTATGGATACCTGGACAGGAAGTCAAGGAAACCTGGCTCAAACCTCCGTTCCTCCAGTGACTAATCATCTCTGACTGCCTGCAGTTGCTTGGAGCTTTCCGTGTCCTAATCAATGCGATCTTATCCATACTCTCCCAAAGACACAGAATAAGGATGAGTAATACATGTGAAGGTGTTATAGACTCTCACCAGGATGGAAAAGTTCAATTATCATTATTTTATAATTAACACTGGAAAAACATCAGTGTGATTTTCTGACAGGTTTTAACGTTACTCATCAGACCTGTACATAATTCATAGCAATCACTGTTTATTAACCTCCTCCTAAACTTTAAGACACCATGTAGATAATACTTTACTAATTCCCACTTCTTAGAATATCTCTGGTGTAGACCAGTGAGTATATTCATTTTACAAATGGATTAAGAAGGCATTTACATGAAGACAGGCTTACAGAGAAGACAGTATCATGTAGTGGTTAAGAGCTTGGATTCTGGAACAAGAAAATCAGCATTCTAATTCCTCTTCCACTGTCTAGCAGCTGTGTGAGCTTGGGCAAGTTAGTTCCCCTCTTAGGAACTCAGCTGCACCTTTAAAATCAAGGATAATAAGCATATCTACCTCTCAAGATTGTTGTGGAGATAAAATGAGAATACACTGTAGACATTCATTAGAACGCCTGGCATAGACATAGGCGGCCCTGAAAAATGTTAGCTGTTATTTTTAGTAGCGAGAAGACAAATCTTCAGGATTCCATGAAACCCCTAAAGATGTTATCTTGCAGAGGCAGAGCCAACATGGTGCCCTAGACAGATGCACCATGCTGTCCCTCTGCAGTAAAGACCTGAAAAACTAAGTAAAATACAAACATCAATCCTGGAATCCTCAGCATAAAATGAAGGGATAAAGAACTAGACAAAACACCAAATGGAAACAGAAACTGACAGAAAACAGAGAACAAGGAAAGATATGGAGTGCAGGTCTCTTGCCAACTAACACAGCACAGTGTCGCCATCTTGGAACGCAGCCAGCAAGGACTCCGGAAAGGGAGTACGGGAAGGCAACTTCACAGGGCTCCCAGCAGGAGACAGACCACCTGGTAACCAGAGAAACATGCTTTCCCACTCCTCACCCTTCTGGTGAGGTGAGGCAAGAACCCCCCCAACCCAGCAGCTTCCACAATATGAGCCTCCCCCCGAACAGCCCTGCCCCCACCCACAGCATGTTTTTTTCCCCCCTCTTTCTTCCTTTTCTTTTTCCCTCCCACTTAGCTCCATACACCCCCTCCCCCATTTCCCACCAGCCCCTGCAACGTCTGTGCGGCTAGAGAGGCACTGGCCGGCTGGTGCCCTGTCCCCACCTGCTGGCTCCTGCTGTACCACCATTTTTTTGGTTTTTCGTTTTCCTTTTCTCCCTGTAACCTAGCCCCATACGCCACCTCCCCAATTCCCACTGAACTCCTGCCATGCTGCTGTGGCTAGGAGAGTCACTGGCCCACCACTGTGCTGGATTCACCCCGTCCCCACCTGCCAGTTCCCACCGTGTCACCTTTTTTTTTTCTTTCTTTTCTTTCTCCCTCCCACTGAGCCCCATAACCACCTCCCCACCATTCCCACCTGACCCTGGGGTCTGCCCCACCCCACCATGCTGCCAAGATTTTCCTTTGTTCCATTACTAATTTTCTTTCTCCCTCCCATCTAGCCCTGTATGCTACCTCTGTATGCTACCTCCCCCTCTTCCCGCTGGCCCCTGCTGTGCTGACATATATAGAGTGCCATCGGCACACTAGCCCGCCATGGCCCCATGTCCACCCCATCCCCAACCACCAGCACACACTGTGCAGCCATTTGTTTTTCTTTTCCTTCTTTCTTTTCTTTATCCCGCCCACCAAGC